GTGTGCATGAACGTTGATAAATCTTTGAAAAAGGGCACGAATCTGAAAAAAGAAGGAAAGGGTTTTTGGGTGGACTTCAAGAATGAGAGGTTGCCCAATTTCTGCTTCATATGCGGCTTTATTGGGCATTCAAATAAGTTTTGTCCTGTGAACTATGAAGAAGATCTAGTATTAGAGAAGAACTTTGGGGTCATCTTAGGGCAGGGAGCGTGGTGAAGACTAGCCCAACAGGAGGTGGCAGGTGGATACTGGAGGATTCATCAAGCTCTGGCGGGAAGGGTGAAGGGGGGAAAGAATCTGTATCTGAATCAGCACAGAGTATAACTAAAGGAGTGGGAGCGGAAACAAAGGAGGAAACTTCGAGGGATCAGAAGAGAAGAAGGATTTGGGGAAACCAGGGCGGAGACAAGATTGAGGAAGATGGCATGGCTCTAGAGTCTAGATGGGACAAAAAACGGGGAAGGGGCGGTCTTTGATTAGTAAGCCCGCCGCAGCTGATTCAACATGAAGGGGTGAAGAACATTCAGGTGCTCGTGCGGATTGGCAGGCTCGGACAGAGTTTCAAGTTTATTTGGTTTTTTATTTTTCCGTAGTGACAATTTATTTTGTTGTGTGGTTTTTTAAGGAGAAATTGTGCTAAATAGGACTTTAACTTTCCGTATATACTTAAATAGGACCTTCACTTTTTTTACTCCTAAATAAGACCTATTTTTTTCCGTGTTCCAGGTTTGCCCCTGAATCTATTAAGCCTTATTCCCGTTCTCTTCTCTGTCGACAAAAGCAAACCTGACCTAGCAGCGGCTCCTTGGCGGAACAGCAGAGGTGGGGCGCAGATGCCGAATACGATGAGCCAACGGCTTCAGGTGAGTCGATCAGTTACGCTGTACGACATCAGCGACGGTGGACGGCGGCAGATATCCCTTCTTCTTCTTCTTCTTCTTCTTCCTCCTCCTCCTCCTCCTCCTCCTCCTCCCCCTCCTCCTCCTCTCCCCTTCTCTTGTGTCGATCTAGCAGTTTTTCTTCGGCCGATCTCAGATCTGGTTGATAGCCTCTCCTTTTGCTTTTGGAGGCTGCCTCTCTCTTTTTATGGAATACTCCATATAAGTTATACGTAGTACATAGTATATTGCACAACTTTTGACTTTTTTGTTTTTTCTTGACCTTTATGTTATTTTTAGTTTGTTTTGTTTAAGTTTTATATTAAATACAGTAAAAAATTTTTTATATTAATTGCTTCTTCGTTGTTGTTTTTGATTCCTTTTAGCCATTACATTATTTTTGTATCATTTATATTATATTTTAAGAGTCAAGAGAAAATAAACATAAGGTATAAATGTGAATTGACTTTGTATATAAACATAAAGTATGTTATATTTTATGAATGTGAATTGACTTTTTGGTGCAAACGTTGCATCTGCTGAAAATAAAAATGTCATTAGTTTTAACAATGTCATTTTCATAATGATTACATTATTATGACATTGTCATTGACATTCTTATGACATTATCATTGACATTTTTGTAACATTTTTATAACATTCTTATGACATTGTCATTGACATTGTCATCGTGATTAATTGGCATTATAATACTTTTCGACATTGTCACTTTTTTTTTATATAAAATTGACATTGTCATAATAGTTATTGACGTTGTCATAATTACAATATCATTTTATAGGATCGACAATGACATTGTCATTGTGACATTTTCTTTACCCGGTGACATTTTTATGACATTCTTTTGACTTTTTTTATGAAATTAACATTGTCATTATTTTATTAACATTGTCATAACTACAATGTCATTTTATAGCATCGACAATGACATTGTCATTGTGATATTTTCTTAACCCAATACATTTTTATACATTTTTATGACATTATCATTGGCATTGTCATTGTGTTAAGATATGTCAGGTCAACCCGAATTCATTTTGATTCCACATTTTAACAAATCCAACTCAAAATAGCACTTATAAAAACGTTTGCAACTCATATTAACAATCCAGGATAGCCCATAGCAACTCCGGATTCTCCCAAAGCATCATCAGAATGTCAAAAAAATATTACAATGTCAAATAATACGAAGTATAAATGTCAATGCTACAAAAATTACATTGTAAGAATGACGATGACAATGCCAATACTGCCAAAAATGACATTATTGTATTAATTATAATGCCAACATCATTATTTGAATAAAAAATAGTGGCAATCTTTATGGATTGATCACCTTGGCAGTACAAAGCCAACATTACAAGGGTAATAGCTAAAATGATTATTGAGCTAATAATAAAAAGGACTCTGCCTAGCCCAAAAACAAAGTAGTCTGCAATTAACATTAAAATTAAACAAAATAGGAGTGTTACAATTTTGAAAAGAAATTAGGAAATACGAAGTAGAAAGCAACATTCGTAAAAAAAAGTAGAAAGAATATTGAGAAGCAAAAGAACGAATCTGCAATCGAGGCCAAACAAAAACATGAAGAAGACGAATCGTGGCCAAACAAAAACATTAAGAAGACGCAAGAAACAAAACAAAAATAACATCCACGGATCTGCAAAAGAATGGCGACAGATTAAACGAGGAGAGAGGAAGAGAGGAAGATAGGAGGAGGAGGAGGAGGCTACTCGCCCTTCCGTTAGCGGCCGCTCCGATGATGACTCGCACCTGCGATAACTCCGGAAGGCGGCGACCGGCAGCAAGCAGCGGCGAGCGGCAGTGGACATACTTGACCTGCGACCGGCTAGAACAATCTCTCCGTTGATAAATCTGGTGGTCATGGCCGGCTTGGGAAGATCGAATAGATGGGGATGACTGCCTGTTCCAAATACGAAACTTCCTGAAAATAGATTGAATAAGGATAAGTCTAGTTTACTCATACCAAATTTCAGATAAAAATTCAATCGGGAAGACATTCAAATGAATTCTTGAAGATAATTGTGCCGTTAAAAGCGCGGTTATCTTCAAGAATTCATTTGAATGTCTTCCCAATTGAATTTATAGTTGAAATTTGGTATGACTAAACTAGACTTAATGAATACGATGCTCAAAAAAAATTATCACAAAATTCCACCGGGAGCCACCTCAAATGGCATGTCCGGACAGAATCTTCTATATAAGGACTTATTTGACGCCTTTTTTGCAACTTCGAGGACTAAACTGACCCTTTACTCAATTTAAAAGTATTAAGCAGTGTTATGCAACTGATAAATAAATAAAGTTATATTGGAATTAGAGATGAATTAAACTCAAAACATTGCATATTGTATGAATAAAAAACAAGAAAATATATAGTTTACAGAAACCTAATATAAAATTCGTATTTCTCATTTGGCATTTGCGGATGACTCAAGAGAATATCATTAAGCTTAATGATATTCTCATTGTTTGTAATTGCGCAATGCAATTGCGCCTCATGGCACGCCTCAGCTAATTCCTGGACTATGGCGTAAAAGGCATTGCATATGGCGCTGGGAGTGTGATGTACGCAATATTGCACTGAGGCGTACGCAATATTGGATACGCAATAAGGCGCTCTGAGGCGTACGCAATAGGAGGTCAGGGTGTAAGGGTATTATTTGGGCCCACTCGGCCCACTTTTAAATTTTTATAATTGATCTTATGATCCCTATTTCAAACCAGTAGTTATTGATTGAATTTTTCAGTCAATCAATCTAATTAATTTAAATTTTCATATTTTAGATTTTTGTTTTGATAAATGATTCAGAATGTTTTGGTATTCTATGGTACTTTGAAGTTTGAACATGTTACTTTGCTTGGTCTCTTATGGTTTGTTTTAATATAACATTTGATGACTTTTGATGAATATGTTTATTTTTTATTATGTTTATATATATAGAGGGCTATTCCTGTCCGGAAATTCCGGACAGGCGCCCCGTCCGGACTCCTCCATTTGGGGGCCTTCCCGGTGGTATTTTTTGCTCAAATTTTTTGTGTATGTTCCTTATCAAGTCTAGTTCATCCATACCAAATTTGAGCAAAAAATTCAATCGGGAAGATCATCAAATGATTTTTCCAAGTTAACTGGTCCGGATAATACATATTCCGGACCAGTTAACTTGCAAAAATGATTTGACGACCTTCCCGGTTGAATTTTTTGCTGAAATTTGGTATGGATGAGCTACACTTGATGAGGAACATACACAAAAAATTTGAGCAAAAAATACCACCGGGAAGGCTCCCAAAAGGAGGAGGCCGGACGGCGCTCCGGTCAGGAAATTCCTGACCGGAAGATTACTCTCTCTATATATGTATATATATATATATATATATATATATTTATTACGCCTCAGCTATACGCCTCATTGCGCAATGAGGCTTACGCAATATGCAATATTAAAAAAACGCCACGACTACGCAATTCGCAATTTTGAACCTTGGATATTCTTAAATGGGTCGTCTAAATCTGTCCAGAATTTCAATGATTTTTTGACTCTATACCAACAGGCCTCAGGTCAACTGGTTAATAAGGATAAGTCTTGCTTTGTTGCGGGAAAGCATATCACATTAGCTAGAAAACATCCTGGGAAGGAAGGTATCTAGGAGTCCAAATACACAAGGGAATCACAAGGGTGGATCATTGTAAAGACCTCCTAGAAATGTTTGACAAAAAGCAGCTCTCGGTTTGGAATAAAAAGTGGTTGTCTCAAGGTGGCAGGCTGGTTATAATTAAGCATGTGATTATTCTATTCCCCTACATACTCTGGCAGTTACTAGTATTCCCAACTCAGTTCAAAATATGATTAAGAAAAGGGTGGCTGACTTCCTTTGGGGAAGTAAAAATCATGTCCCTAAACACCATTGGATTAAATTCAAGGATATTTGTAAGCCCATTGAATGTGGTGGTGTGGGTATTAGATCTATATGTGATCAAAAAGTCACAGCTCTGAAACTCTGGTGGGAGTTCCTGCAAGGGAGTTCCATGTGGGCAGACCTAATGAGAAGTAGATACGGTAGGAGAGCCCCAGGGGAGGTCGAAAATACTATTCTCAAGCTTGGAGAAGGATCAGTTTCATTTCAAAAGAGGCTGAAAATATGGTGGTTAGGGGCTCTCCGTCAGTGGTCTGGAAGCATACTACAGATGGAAAGTTTACAACTCAATCAGCCTACAAAGCTTTATGGAATCAAGGGGGCAGGACTTTATCAACAAATAGTATATGGAACCCTAAACAGGTATCAAAGGTTCGTATTTTTCAATGTAATATTTTATTCCTTCCGTCCCGCTAAGATTATCGTAGTTCCTATTCACTTGGTCAATACAAATCACTCTTAATCTCTTACTTTATATATCAATTTTTTATCAAACTTATTCAGGTTTTTGCGACTTTGTAAAGCTTTTAATGTAGTTTCTAAATATGTATTTTTTTCTTCTAAAAATAATTTGAGTATGAACATGGATCTGTTTGTTTTATCATCGGTCAAACATCGTAAACCGAATTGTCTCATTCTTAGTGGGATGGAGGTAGTATTATAGTATAAAAATGCCCATCATTGGACTTTGTATCATCATCCTCAACCTGCTCCTTTCATCCTAGGGAGTTCAATGAATTCAAATTTTCTAAAGAGCCCGTCCACCTAATTTCCACCCTCGACCTTTCAAAATTTTGAAAACGCATAGAGAACAATAACTTGTTCGGATGACCTTTTAAGCAATGAACACCATCAATCTTCGCTCCAAGTTTTTGAATGATACTAGTAGTCATGATCTCCATTTCATCATCATCACTATCTCATACTCCGTATATTTTCAAGAATTCATGCCTAAAAATAGAATAGCTATAAACTAGTCAATAATATTATATATATGAACCCATATCCTTTTGTGGAATTTTTATCATCATCGAGCTCATCAAAAATAGCTGTTGGTAAGGGCAAGGCACTATTCACCCATGGGAATGGGAATGGGAATGAAGGGTACTTTGGGTTTTTAGTGGTAATGTTACCTATGCAACCATACTTAAAATTTTAATTATTTTCAAAAAACGAAAAAATAGTTAGAAGCTCATATATATCAGCTTCAATAATAAAGTGCTTAATCTAAGAAGTAAAAACATTTCTTTTTCAAAAGATAACTTAATTCATATTAAAAACAAGAATTAGATATAAAATCATCATATATATCAAAGACTAAACTGGGATGACACTAAACTATAAGCTATCCATGTAATATAAATTCAAGTAGGCTTGGTTTGGTGCTCCTACTTTGTACTTACTTCACATTATAATAAGGTGGGGTGTTCCCTGGCCCCCACCCCAAACCCTCTTGAGGGTTAGGAGTTTCACCAGGTAAAAAAAGGGATGAGACTCGGAGTTGTAGTCACTCATAAGAGCGGCCCAACTCGCTAATCCCGCAATGTGGTAGACTCCACTTATAGCAATTTGCACCTGCTACTAGAAGGAAAATTAAAATAAAAACAACAACATAATCCAAGCATCTCGGCTTCACCCGCCACCAAGAAAGGAGAAGTGGTTTGTCCATCCACCTTCAAAGGAAGCATCCCGATTTTACCAGCAATCAGAAAGGGAGAAGAGGTTTGTTTATCCACCTCCAAAGAAATCATCTAGTGTACGGGTCATGTCAGTATTTTAGGTTGTGTTGTTCCGGGAGCACCGCCGCATTGCCAATTCTTGTTCCCTCGCCATCAACCTCCTCGAATGACCTCCTTTCATAAGTTTGATTTTAACTCTCCATTAACGGCCAACAAAACGATTGTCAGATCTAAGACAAAGAAAAGAAGTAGTGAGACTCACGACCAAAAGTGCAAACACATTCACAATTGAAACAGGCCAAACCCTCGTCCAGAGAAAACTTAGTCGAACAAACAACCCTCAGCCTACAAGGCGTTGAGTTTGGACCGCGAGGATTGATTTCCGGCGTCGACATAGTTTTGGGAAGCTTCGTTTTCAGCTTTTGGCGAGCTACAAGGGGACCGACGCTTTGGGAAAGACCACTTGGTAAGCACCTCTGCAGCAGAGCTTCGTGCTAGCGTTTTGTAGCGGAGCTTTGTTTTTTAGTATTGCAGATCCGTAGCAGAGGACAGATTGTTGAGCAATGAAACAAAGGATGTGGAGGCTGCTCGCTTTCGGACTGGTTGTGATCGTGCAATATTTTGGCCAAGAGAGGGAGGTGACTTACGAGCAGATCAAAGTGATGAAGGAAGAAGATGAAGTGATGAAAATTCGTCCCCCTCCTGAACCGCCGCCATGGAGGAATTGTGCAGACTAGGGTTTGAACTGCTTCACTTTTTCCAGTTTTTTTATTTTCAATCCAGGTTGTTTTACTATTTCTATTTTGTTCTTTCTTTGACAAACAATAAGGGGGTAGTTTGGTGTTTTGGTTTGTTTTAGTTGATAGATTACTGTTTGGAAGCAATCAGGCTGATTCAGCCGATAATAGCATCTATGCTCTCACAGTTTCAGCGATTAGTCTCGCTCTTCCTAGAGTGGATTATTCTATGTTTGATCATGACGTGAGAGGGCCGCTGAGATTTGGTTTTGGATGGATTGCAAGGGAGTTGGGTCTTGAGAAATTGTTATTGTTTCGGATCATTTGACTTAATATAAGCTTGTTTCCTTTCAAAAAAAAAAAAAAACTCTCAGAAACACTCCCTAAATCATAAAAAAGTAATGTTTTGCACGTCTTACACCCTAGTCAGGAAACTAAAAGTAAGCAAGATTTACTAAATCAAATCAAAGCTCTTATTTGGATCTCTAGAAATAAAATATAGAATTTGCTCTAGGTAGGACTAAAAATTCTCTAAAATGCACAAATAGGACTACTACGTTTTAAACCCCCTCAAATAGGACTAAACATTAATTTCTACCCCAAAATACACCTAAGGGTATTAATTCATAATGAAATGTTTTAATTCATAACAAAATCTTTAAAAAATATTAAAAAGTCGTAAAAAATATTAAAAATTCGTAAAATAATACCTTGCCCACTGCCTTCCAGCACCACCACTCCCGATCAGTGAAAATTCTGTCTTTCTTTGTAAAAAATGTCATTTTTTTAAAATACCAAAAAATGGCATTATTACTCTTCATAATGTCAAAATTCTCATTATTATGGCATTACTAAAAATGTTGGTAGATTTCCAATCGGTGATGGGAGCTGGTGATGCTGGGGGTGCCAGAGGTGGCATCTTTTTTTTAAACCTTTTTTTTTTAATTTTTTTTTTAATTTATAAACATTATATGATTTTTTTATTTTTTTACGTTTTTTATTATTATTTTACATTTTTATTGTTTTTATGATTTTATTATCAATTAAGACATTTCAAAAGCTACAAGGGTATATTTGTTCAAACACACATAAATATTTTTTTTTGTCTTTTTCAAAATCTTTTTCTTCAAGGATGTCCAAAATTTCCAAGTTTTTCCTATGCTCCTCTTGTGTTCTCTCCTTGCCTCCATATCTATTTTTTTTAAGGAAGTTCCACCATCCTCTCTCTTCTTTTTCTGATTGGATTGGAAACACCTCTTTATATCCTCCTCTTCTCTCTTCACTCGAAAGCGACTAGACGGCGTTGCTTAATTACTTAATTATAATAAATGTGAACTTGCAATAATAAAAACATGGAGGAGGGCTTTGTGGATGTTCAGGTTGAAACAGATGCGGTGCGAAGCTTGACCTTGCTTCAACAGGAATCAGGCAACCTCGCTGGTCTAAGCAATTTCAGACATCAAGCTTTGGGCCGGAGCTTCATTTTTGAACATGTTTATAGAGAGGCTAATGAGCCTGCTCATCAGTTAGCAGCCCATCCTATTGGTCAGGCCATTTGTGTTCGCTTTAATCAGGTGGGATTATTACCGAATAATGTGAAGCAGAATTATTATGCTGATCTTTTTGGAATTCCTAGATTTCGTTTCTAATCTGTTGTTTTACTTTTGGGTCAGGTTTAGTCCCCCCAAATTTGATTTACTCTCCCTGATTTTTAATAAAATTATGGTAAATGACCCCCGGCATTTGCCCCACTGATTTTGGTGGTTTGCCTTTCCGGGGTAAAAAAAAATATTGGACATATTTGTATTAATTGGCTGGTCACATATTTGGAGAAACTCAAAAGAAGTTACTGCTATATTTTTAGGGAAAATTGTCAATTTAGTCCTCATAATTTCATGAAAAAGTCAATTGGATCCTTGTACTTTTAAAAAAATCAATCAAATTCCCGAACTTTGTAAAATCGTTCAATTGAGTACATTTATAGGTTACTTGCCATGTCAGCAGGTCACCCGTTGACGTGGCACACACGCGGTGGTCCACGTGTGCGCCACGTCATCGGTAAATGGCTTACTATACTTCCACATGTGTGTCACGTCAGCAGAATTATTGCTGATTGGGCTGTCACATGTGCGCCACTTCAGCGGGTGACCTGTTGACATGACAAGTAACCTGTAAATGGACTCAATTGAACGTTTTTGTAAAGTTCGGGGATCTGATTGATCTTTTTAAAAGTATGAAGATTTAATTGATTTTTTCATTAAATTACGAGGACCAAATTGACATTTTCCCCATATTTTTATCATTTAGTATTTACTTTGATAATATTCATAAACAAAAAAGGCTTTTTATCATATCATTATTGTGAGATCCATATTTGCCATTTCTATAGAACATTAATACAATTGAGAATTGATAATCTCTGGCTCGCCGAAGAGAGCCCATGTATATAATAGCACTATTTTATGTGGCTTGCAATTTTTTATTAAATAATATGAACAATGCTCTTGTTGGAATAAAAAATGTAATCTCTATACTTCTTTTTTTATTTATTATAACTACATGTTATTATATATATTATATTATATACAAGTATATAAGTGTGAGTAGATAGATGCCATGGAGCCTAACTGATTAAATCATTTAGTACAACTGTTCATATATATATATATATACATTTATTCAAATAATAAATAAATAAATTAAACTCCCATTGCTTGCATCATACGAAGTATGTACATATTATTTCTATATATGTGTATGGGTATAGCTAGACCAGAATTGATCGAATTGATCGATAGGAGGAATTGAAAGAAATAATGGGCGACGCAATTGGGTGCAGGGGTAGAATCCAAATCCCCGAGGGGCTGACGGCGGAGGAGTTCGCCGGGCTGGAGGCGCTGATCGGCCGCTACCACACCTTCGATGCCCTGCCCAACACCTGCACATCTCTCATCACTCAGCACATCCCCGCGCCCGCCGCCGTCGTCTGGCGCTTCGTCCGCCGCTTCGACAACCCCCAGAAGTACAAGCATTTCATCAAGAGCTGCACCATGACCGGAGACGGCGGCGTCGGCAGCATCCGGGAGGTCACCGTCGTCTCCGGCATCCCCGCCGCCACCAGCACCGAGCGCCTCGAGATCCTCGACGACGACAAGCACGTCCTCAGCTTCCGCGTCGTCGGCGGCGAGCACCGCCTCAACAACTACCGCAGCGTCACGTCGGTCAACGAGTTCCGGCGACCCGACGGCGCCGGCGTTTACACCGTCGTCCTCGAGTCCTACATCGTCGACATTCCGGAAGGCAACACCGGAGAAGATACCCGGATGTTCACCGACACCGTCGTCAAGCTCAATCTCCAGAAGCTGGGGGCGGTGGCTGTGGCGGCCTTGCATGGCGACGCCGGAGGTGCTGAATCATGAATGGTATAGTTGGGCGGTGGTATTTAATTTGTAACTCTTATATTATTATTTTATTTTTATTATTACTATTTTCGATATATTTTCTTAATTAGGATTTTCATGCTTTTCTCGGGAAAAGGAGCATAAATACGTACAACAAATAAATTGTACTGTGTATTTTATTTAATAGCTTCCTTGAACTTGTATACGCAGGATATATGATGGCAAATGCCTAAAATATACGGAGTACTAGTACTACACTAGATTGTGGACAAAATATACTAGCTAGTACGTAGTATATTACATGAATTTTAAGAGTTCCACAAAAGTGACGCAAATTAACAGTTGGGAGCAACAGATCATGGGAAAAGCCGAAAAAGTGCAAGTGTACCTTTAATACCTCGAGGTGCGAAAATATTTTTCAAGTGCAAATTTACTACGGAGTACTCCCTCCGTCCCAGAATTAAGTTCGGTTTTGACTGGGCACGAAGATTAAGAAAGTGAGAAATGTGTGGTGGAGAGTTGTGCAGAGGAGAGAAAAATGTGTAAGAATGGTTGTGAATCACAAATCCTTTGCTAAAAAGGGAAAGAGGAGATAAATTTGGGACAGACCAAAAAGGAAAGAATGAAGATAATTATGGGACGGAGGGAGTATTAAATTTATCCTTTTGGGTTTCAAATAAATAAAAGATATATACTCCGTATTTAAAAATATCAAAAATAAATTAAACGAACACATTGAGTTTGGAGATTGAAAAATAAAAAAATTAAAAAAATTATTTTGTGTTAAATGCTCCTATTTATTATTTTTACGTCAAATTAATATTGTTAAGAAAAATTAAATATTTTAAAACTTTAACACATAATTATGTTATTGATGTTAGTGCAAAGTATTTTTTTATTGTAAATGGCTAATATCACGAAATCAGGCAAGTTACGTCCAGACAAAAAGTCATATCCTGATCACTAGTCATCGAATCTTATTTAGAATTTAAATTTTAAAAAGAAAACTCCACTGGTATTAATTCAAAGCATCGTTTGCCAACTGGCAGGAAATACAATCTAGATTAACTAAGTAAATTTGGCTCTCGTCCACCTTATCCAGAGCATCTCTGATAAGTTTGTGAGCTACCCTGTTGGCTGACCTTCGACAAAACTTGACTACGAATTCCGCTTGGTTAAGCAAAATGTGTTTAATATCTTCTATAACAACGTCCAAATATGAATTACCATCCTCTCATTCTATCCGTGATACTGCAAATGTTGAGTCGGTCTCAACTTTTACCCTTCGCCGACCTTGTGGGCTTGCCCGCTATAATATTGCTTTGAGCCCCAGAGCTTCTGTCATGGGTTGCAGTCCACCCTTGTTTCGTCGAGAACTTGTCCCCCCCCCCACAAAGTTTCCCGAGTAATCACGGGCTACCAGCCCCAAGCTCTTCTTTCATCTGATATCCAGCGCAACATCCACATTGATTTTATTTCTCCCCTTGCCGGCTTCAGCCAATATTTCTCATCCTTATTGGACTCGACCTTGGATGGCTAGCATCTTGAGCTTTCCTCCAGCCTTGCAACATTGACTCACTATCAATCAACACTTGTGCCCAGATGAAAGTGCTATTTTCCAAACAACTTTGTTCCGGGCCTTCGATATGCTCCACAAAATAGTTATAAATCTGCACAGCTCACCATCCTGCATAATATATATGTATATATATAAACATTTTATTCAATCAATTAAATCACCCCTTGTCTATGGAAAGTTGCTCCCAGATCAGACTAGACATCAGATGTAGCTTAACACTTAGCAAAAATATGAAGTTGTTTTTTGTTAATAGCAAAAATATGAAGTTATGTCTTCACCTCCGCACTACACAACAGCAAAGTGGGTTAACCTCTACATGCCTCCTCACCAGCTTATACGTTGTGGGCAGGAATCCCGACATCACCTGCCAGAAGAAAATTTTAAATTTCGGGGGTTCCACATTTTTGTCCAGCTAAGTCATCCATTCCTGAGTATCTCCCCACTAGCCATACGGTACCCACTCTTGACCCTGTAATTCCCGTTATAGTCTGGCCACCAGAAATAACCATCTGTGCCATGCCCCAATTTGAGTGGTATTGACAATATAGCTTTTCGTTCCTCTACTTAAGAGAATCCCCTCACCCTTTGCTCATTCAAGATCTTTCCATCATTCATAGTGAAAGAAGCCACATTCATATCCGCTATTCGCGAGGAGGAGGAGGAGATATCATACCATTTCCTTCCCTCGGTAACCATTTATCCTTCCAGACGGAAATATTTTGACCATTGATTACCTTTAATTTCTTTTGACCCCCTTCTCCAAAAGCCCTTGAGATTGTCGAATGCTACTCTATATGAAAGAAGGTTGGACCACATGTCTGCCTGCAAAAATGTAGTGTTATGGAAATATTTTGCTTTAAAAAAATTCCATCTAATGAATCCGGGTTCTGTATCTCTCAAGCCTCTATATCCAAAGTCGCCTCGTGCTTTGGTTTGCACAAGTTCTGTCATCGAGTCCAACATATTCCCTTCCCAATAAAATATTGACCTCTCCACCAGTATCCATTCATAAGGGTTTCGATCTCCGAACACAAATCCTTGGGCAGAAGGAAAATGTTTATGGCATATGTTGACATGGTCTGGATCACCGTTTTCAACATAATGCCACGATCTGCCTTTGACAGAAACCTGTTATTCCAACTTTTTAATCTAGTGACAATACTCTCCTTCAGATAGCTCATTATTTCTATCTTTTGGAGAAAGGGGGTCCAGATGGATTGATAGGCCCAATAACATCCCTTTCAAAAGGGATAAAATATTCCACACCACCGATGCAGTCTCCACCGAAGGTGGGAGACTTTGCAGCACCGGAGTAATGATGATTGATTATATGACCAATCCATTCTCCAATTAGACTGATCCATTTCTTATCAAAATTCTTGAGCTTTAACGTGTACTCAATATGATCACTCCACTCTGTCATACGGCTATATGCCCTTCTTTCCCACTCCTCTTATTTTTTTTAAAGTAGAGATTCAAAAGTCACCATAATATTATCTACAACTATTCTACCTGGGACGAAATCATCACTTTGGTTTTTTGAGATAAAGCCTTTAAGGAATCCTTTCAAACGGTTTGCCAGAACTTTAGAAAAA